ACTGTATCACAGTACAGAATCGCACGGTAAATTTGCGTATTTATTTAAATATTTTCTTTTTCTTTCAGACTCGTGAGCATGCTCTTCTTGCTTTCACCCTTGGTGTGAAAAAACTGATCGTTGGTCAACAAGATGGCTTCGTCTGAACCACCATACAGTGGCTCGTTATGAGGGAATCAAGAAGGAAGTATCCTCATACATCAAGAATATCGGTAACAACCCAGCTGCTGTTGCATTCATGCCAATCTCTGACTGGTATGGTGATAACATGCTGGAAGCATCCACCAACATGCCATGGTTCAAGGGATGGAAGGTTAAACCTAAGGATGGTAATGCTGAAGGCAAGACACTTATCGATGCCCTTCACATCACCGAACATCACCACTGAAGTTAAGTCCGTGGAAATGCACCACGAAGCTTTGCCAGAGGCTGTTTCCGGTGAAAACGTTGGTTTCAACGTTAAGAACGCTTCCGTTAAGGAATTGCGTCGTGGTTATGTCACTGGTGACATAATAGAGGGCAATCCCCCCTAAGGGTGCTGCTGATTTCACCTCCCAGATTATTGTTGAGCCACCCTGTTCGAATTGCCAACGGCCACATTGTAGTGTTGGATTGCCATACGGGGAATGTTCGCTTTAGTATCCCTTTTTGAAGAGGTTTGCGCAAAGGGGGAGGGGGCTGGGGGCTTGCTACCCCCCTCATTTGAAAGGTAATGAATGGAACTTTTGAATAATAACACCCTTCCGCCCCTAGGACCACTGGGGGCTCTAGGGCAGCCTCCTGAAAATGGTGTAAAATTGTAGTTTTTCCACACAATTTTCACTAATTATTATAAAATTTATGTATATTTACGCATAGAGTGACTCTATGTTTATTATTTTTATTATTTCAATGAATTAAAGTGGRAATCCACTTTATTTAAATAATAAAAACACTGAAAATAAAAAATTGTAAATTGTGTCGGTAATAATGCATACAAGTAGTTGAAGTACCAAGATAACCCAACCAACCATTTGTACAAGACCCCCTAAATAATAAAAGTGGGAATATCATCATCTTTGAAAAAAATTAGATATTATTTTATATAATACTGTTTTCAAAGAAAATTTCAAAGCTCCCTGAAAAGCGGCGCAGGCGAAATTTTTTATTCCAAATTTTGAATATATTTTCA